CTCCTCGCCCTCGCCGTTGCCCACTGAGCTGTTCTCCGATTGGGAACGGCAGGGCAGAGGGGTTGGCTGGCTTTGAATCACACTGCCCTTCCTCGTCCAAGCACTCCCTTAATTGCTTAATTGACCAGGTAATAGCGATTTGACCCCAACTTCTCTTGCTTATTTGAACCTGGAGCTGCAGACATCTAAAATAGTAAAGGACTGCCTGGAATAAGGCCAGGGCTCCTCATCTTTTGCTTGTTACAGTGTTTCCTGTGTTCCAGTCTTTCTACTTTGACGGTAGCTGCCATCCACCTTGACTTCTACAGGACTCCTCAGGACACTGTGGGAGCCTTGGCTTGGGGAACAATTTTACTGTTGTGCTGCAATATTTTACGGGGAAAAATGGGCAATGGTGTGACATTAATTTCCTTCCCCTGTGAGCTTCCTGGCATGGTTTTTTGAGTGCTGTTTTTAGACGTTGCTTCAATTCCACTTAATTGTCGTGAACGATAACCAAAGCAGAAAGAATAAGAGAGAGAGATGAAACTGTGATGAAGTCAGAGGCCATACCTCCTTTTACAGCCTCCAGTTGTCTGGGCTGAATTTGTTCTCCTCGTACGGCATCGGAAGAGCTGGCCGTTCTAGGGAATTGTGTAAGTTGAGCGTGCTTTGTGTCAGGTGTGCTGGTGTCAGCTTTCTCCCCGACCAGTAACATCTGAAATTTATTTTAAAAACCGACCATGAAGAGAGTTATCAGATCATCCCATGGGTGACGCAGACGTCCACAACAATTGGAACAGCTGGGCGTTGTATTTCCTGGCGTGCGGAGAATTGATTTATTTGCGCAATGGGATCCTCTTACATGGAGAAAAGAGAGGCTGACAGAAAAAGAGAGTTAGAGAGTTGTGATATGAAGTTTAAAACCGCGCCCTCTCTCCCTGGCTTCACTTGTGCTCTTTGAAGCCTGGGCCCCACGGTGTACCTGCCTTTAATGATCACAGTGCGGACTCACAGTGCACATATTGACTCTAGTACAGCCCTTCTTTTGTGCATCAAAGATGCTTTTGTGCATGGAAGCTCTCCTCTGTAAAGCAGTGCTGTAAACCCGTCTGTTCTAGAAATGGCGTTCTGTGGTTCGGCTCGGTTACTTGCACAGGGCACAGGATACGCTGGGGAACTTCGCCTCTGGAGGTTTTGACTTGTTCCCTCCAGTGTCTGCTACTCGTTCTCAAGCACCTCATCCCGCTCAGGGGTTACTAGTCGGCACTAGCTGCTGCCTTTTCACAGAGCTGCCTGGCAGTCCGTCTCGGGGCGCGGGAGCAGCCCTCTCCAGACCTGTCCCGCGCTGGTCCAGCTCATCTGTCTGCCCACGGCTCTGGCAGCAGGAGTCTGCAAGGCGAATACCCGATCCTGGCGAGGGCGGGGACTCGATTCTGCACGGTCTGCCCGGAGAACAATGTCTCCGTTGATCCTGTCGGGCCCGGGCGCTCTCGGAAACGAACGAGTTGGAAACGCCGAAGCAGACGGCGGACTCCGGGTCCGAGCCGCGCCAGAACGAGGCCGCAAACGAGGCCGAGGGACGGAGATTCTGGAGCTCGGCGTGCTAGAGCACGGCGCAGGAACGCTACAACTCCCGAAGTCCTGCTGTCCGCTGTGCTGCCGTCTG